TTAGGTTGAATGCACAATTTCAGTGATTTACGTGCAATGTGAAGTATTACACCTGTAAATGGCCATTACTATTCATTTATAATTTTGTTATTGTATAGCTTATAAATCTGAGAAAAAACATTCACAAGTAAATTAGTCATGCAATTGTATTTTTAAATTGCTTTTGCAGTTGATCTGAAGCCACTAAAAACACAGATCCTTTTATTTCTATGTTCCATATGAGCAATCAAAGGAAAAACTACAAACAATTCTACCTGTTAGTTCCAGACTTAAGTTTTGAACTACTGAGCTGTCCCAAGGTAGGGATTCAACTGAGAGGAAAAGCCTACAGGACTGAACCTCCTCCCCTCCGCCCAAGACTTCCTTTTTTTATTTCTTATTAAATGGTTCAAAACAATTCATACAAATACTATTTCTATTAAAATGAATTCTTATATTCACCTTCCCCAATCACTACCACTTTCCATTTAAGGGTTTTGAAACATCTTGCAGCAACTAATGTAATAAGCCCATGATATCTCTCTGAAGATGGGAGAAATTATTCTCATGTGATTTAGACTGATTCAGCATTGCTTGTATTAGTGGCAGGTTTCATCTTGATCCTTTTTTTTTCTGGTAGTAGAGATTGCTCATGTGTATAACCTGTTTACGAAAGAGTTTGTGTCAAGAGACTGCTATAAAGGAGACATAAATGATCTTAACAGACTAAAGAAAAAAAAAGAAATATAATGTGCAACAAAGACAGTGAGGCACAGAATAGAAACAAAATATTTATGTAGAAAAAAAGTACAACTTTGGTATTAAAAACACCAATGTTCTCAAAATTCAGAGATATATAGGGAGTTTCCAGCATATATCAGCATGGTGGAAAGAGTCTTTTGAACTAAAATGGGGACATTTTGATGTTGTATTTAGTGTTAGGAGAGGGGGAGAGATGTTTTTACTTTTGGTAACATAAATGTTATCTTCACCTATGTAATAAATTGTCATTATTGTGAATATCAGACTTACAGGTGATTTATGCTGAACACCTATTTCTCACATGGCGAGATTTACCAGTAGGGAGGGGAGTGAGTACAGGACTGAGGAATCAGTGAAAGGGATAGTACTTTTCTCATAGCACTTTGTGGTTTTGCAAAAGCTCCACATTCCATGTTGATCAAGAAAGCTATACAGCTTCACTCAGTTACTGCTGCAACTCCATCCAGCCTAGATGTGGCTTCGATACAACACTAACATTACAGAAAAACAAGCCCAGGAAATTTCAGCTGTTACAGCCTGTTTATCAGAATGCTTTTCTTCCTCCCACAGTTGTATTCAGCATTATTTACTAACCTGTTTCTAGGGGAAATAAGGAGTTGGATTGCACTTTGGTAGCTGAATCCACTTACTCCTAAGCTATTTGGATCAGTAGAACCCTTAATAAATCAAGAAGAAGGTAGGAGCAGGGGTAAGTGAATTTCCCAGGAAGGACCCTTCACTCCTTCTTGCTGAGGAAAGCAGGGATATTTACTTTCCCTGTGTAGTCACCAGATATCAGATTTGCTGATTTCCAAGGAGTATGTCATCGTCCCTATGGACTCTTCTCAGGTGTGGGGCAGGAAAATTCTCTACCTTTCCTGTTGAATCTGTGACGCTGTGGAATTAAGTATTTAGATTCCTGGGGCCAGAAAAGGGAAACACAAGCACAAGGATAAACAGTTTGTGATTTGTACTTAAAGGGCAAGGCATAAGGAGTCAAGAACCCTAGTTTTTGGTCCTTGTTCCATAAATATTTCCATATTTTGCTCCCTTACATACAGCTATGATTGAGTAAACAGTGTATGAAGCAGGGTACTAATCCTGTTCATAGCTGAAGCCTCTCTGACTTGGCATTGAGCTCAAAAGTTTTCTCTCTTTTTCTCAGGGCCTTACAACATTCTTATCAAAGCTGTCCGCAGCTTTCCTCTTCATCTGTTTTTGTACTGCTTCTAGCACTTCTTTGTTCGTTCCCACACAAGCAAACAGGCACAGTAGGTCCAATGAATTCTTTGTGCATTGAATATACTGCACATCAGTACAGTACATGACTGGTAAGTCTGGCATGTCTGGGAAATATTGAACTGCCTGAGCATGCAATCCAACATGTCTGGGATTTCCATGCTGGCTATGTTCACAAGTCCTGGAAAAATACCTATGTATTTTTTATAGACCAATTCATTTTTCCGCATGAGGGGATTAGTACACTGTAATCAGTTCACTTTTCATCTTTTGATATACTAAGCTTATTAAATTCAAGCCTCTGATCACGTATTGTATCGTACAGCATCCTCTATAACACTAAAATCACTACTGTGATTCCCTTCTGCTCCATCTCTGTTTTGTGAACAGTGTTTTAAAAATACAGTCGCACGAACTGTATGGCTCATTCAAAAAGCAATCTCAGCGATGCTATACATAGAAGGCAAACCCCCTTCATGTGCCTCGTCAGTAAAAGACATGACCAAAAGGCAGTGTTTCCAGTTCATAGGAAACGGTATGTTTTTACAAACTGCTCTCATCCAAATCACGGTGGGTTTTTTGGTGGAAATTTCTAGTGAATCAAAAGTACTCTGACCCCTGCAGGTGCTTCGGCAAACTGACACGAGAGGGCTGACACGAGGGAAGGAAGAACCTGCATTTTTAAGGAAACGACAGAAAACTTCTTGCTTGGCGTGTTGCTTCACCAGGGAGTATTGTCCATTTACTATAACATTCAGAGTCTGAATGCTTGTCTAATATGACCTTGGGGGTGCTTTGCTGACCTACTGCTTTCTAGAATTCAGGAACACGCAATGTTTTTAGTTGTTCTCAAATTATACATTGGGTTTGTTTATACCAAAACACAGAACCTTTAGAGAGATCAGCTTGTCATTTGCTTTCCAAATCTGTTAAAAATATATCAGAGTATTAGTTCAAATACCATTGCCCAGTAGATTGCTGTTTCTCCATTCATTGTTGAGGTATGTCAGCCATATGGCCCTAATCCACATAATGTATCAATAGTGTTTTATTAAAATAATGGAGTTTCACTGAAAAACAGACCAATGTCTTGCTAACTATTGGGGCTAATTAAAATATTCTAGCTCTTGAAAAAGTAATCTACAATTTAGTTTAAGTTCTGAACAGATCATGATACAGCCTGCTATTCTGCTACAATAAAAACAGTATTATTTTTAAAAATAGACTTATATGGCAAATGCCTTCTTTTAGACAAATATGGAAGTGCTTTGTTTTTCAACACCGTGTTATATGGCTGCATTGTTTCCATTAGCAATGGACCTGTGCTGGTAATAGGGAACCTTTGCTATCAGTAGATATTTAGGCTGGAGTGAACAGCAGTGACTTACGGTGCTTTTAAAAACACACCGAAAAGGTATGCTACTCCTGACAAAGCTTTACACTACGGTTTCTTTTCTTCCTGGTGGCACCTTGTCCTTTGCCTTGTCAATGGGGAGGTTTGCCCTTCAATAGCAGCTCCTTGGTTGACGTGAGAACTGGTTCTTTCTGCCAAAGTGGGACGAGCGTGTGGGACTGGAGAAATAGTAGAAGCCATACTTTGGCCCCCTCCATAATAACCTATACTAAGTTTCCCGAACCTCTTTCCCAAATCGTTGGCACGCGTACGTGCAACCCAAGCCTTCCCAGTCTTGGCACCCTGCAGCTGACACAACCCACCTGCGAAGCCAATGGCTTCATCCTCTGAACAGCCACAGCTCGGCGCATTCCTGACCGCGGGATGTGCCGTTCTCAGAGCTGCCTACACACCTTGGGTAGCGCAGGACACGGCAGCGGCAGGTCCTGCTCTGAGATTATAGCGAGGGACTGTCCTGTGCTGTCAACCACCTCCCGTTTCCCTGCCGCTTCCTCCGCCCAGTCGCTGCCGCCCGCGGTTACCGAGCGCGTACACGAGAGCGGCTCGTCCTTCGGTAACACCGTTCCTGCTGGTTTCCCCCCCCGGCCGCCCTTTCGCCCCGGCTCGGGGCAGGCAGATCCCGCCCGCAGCTCTCCGCTGGAGCGCCGAGCGCTGCCGCCTGCCGGTCCTCCGGGGCCGCCGCCGCCGGGCCCACCGCGGTAGCGCCCCGCCACTGCACCGCCCGCCGAGCCGCCCTCGGCCCGCGCAGCCCCAGCGCTCCGGGCGGCCCAGGGGCAGCGACAGGAGCCTCTCGGCAGGGGACCGGCCAGCAGCCGGGAGCGCCTCTCGCCCGTGCGCAGGCAAAGAGCGCCCGCCGGACCGGGGGCGGCTTTCGGCGCTGCGGTCGGCAGGCGAGCTGCGGCACCGCTGCTTGTTTACGAGTGGGCAGAGGGGCGGCCCGGGACAGCGCTTGGGGTGGCGGGGCTGCCCCTCCCAGCCCCGCAGACCGGGTCCGCCCCGGCTCCTCCGCACCCGCGGGGCACCTGGGCGCGCCCGCAGCCCGGCAGCGGGGACGGGACGGGACGGGGCGGGGCGAGCGCGGCTCTGCCCTCCCGTGGCGCCGGGGCTGAGCGGGCGCGGAGCCGCTCCCCGTCCCGGATCCCCGCGCCCCTCGAAGGGGCAGGCGGAGGAAGAGGAGGAGGCTCCCACCGCCGGGCACGGCGGGGCCCCCTTCGCGATTCCCTCTGGCGCTGCCCTGCTGTGGCTGCACCCTTCGAGGGGCCCTCTCCCACCACGCCCCCGGTGTTCCCCGGGCCGCCGCCAGCCCGTCCCCGCGGTCTGGCGCCGTCGCCTCGTTCCGCTCCTGGAGCCCCGGGAGGGGGAGGGGAGGGGCAGGGGGAGGCGGTGGCGGCGACCGCCGTGGGGCCCAGGCTGCTCCTCGCCTCCGCTGCGCCTCTTCCAGCCCCGGGATCTGGGGCTGCGGGGGGGGCGGGAAAGGGAGGGGGCGGGGCCCGCATGGGCAGCAGCCAATGAGAGGGCGCAACCCGGCAGCTGGGGCGGTGCGAAGGTGGTCACCGCCCAATGGGGGAAGGGCAGAGGGCGCACTCGGAGCGGGGCGAGAGTCAGGCAGGAGGCGAGTCGGTACTCGGGCAGCGAGCGGGACACAGGAGCTGCCGCCGCCTCGGCCGGGGCTTAATCGCAGCCGCTCGCACGGACGGCGCCGCGGGACCGGGAGCCGGTGGGTGAGGGACGAACGGACTGAGGGACGCCGCTTCCCGGAGGGGGCAGCGGGCGGAGCCGCCGCCCGGAGGAGAAGTTTGGCCGAAGCGGCCGCCTTCGCTGAGAGAGGAAACTTTCCTCGGGGGGCCGGAGGCGGGGGCGGCGGGAAGGAGCCGCGGCACGCTCGGGTCCGCCGCCTGGCGAGGGGGCTTCCGAGAGGCTCCCCCCCGGCCCAGGCCGGGCTGCGGCGGCTGGGATGTACCTGGCAGCGGTCTCGGCGGGGAGGAGACGCCCGGGCGGAGACGTCGGCTGGCACCTGGCGGCGGCGGGGTGGCTGTTCCTGCTGGCCCTGCTGCTGGGCGACTCGGGGACGCGGGCGCTCGTCTGCTTACCCTGCGACGAATCCAAATGCGAAGAACCGAAGAGCTGCCCCGGTAGCATCGTGCTGGGTATCTGCGGCTGTTGTTTCATGTGCGCTCGGCAACGGAACGAGAGCTGCGGGGGAGTCTATGGGCTGCACGGGGCTTGCGACCGGGGCTTGCGCTGTGTCATCCGACCGCCGCTCAACGGAGACTCCATCACCGAGTACGAAGTGGGCGTCTGCGAAGGTGAGAGGCGGCGGGACATCATCCATCCATCTCTCCATCCCCCGGGCTGGGGGTACCCGCTGGGCGGCGGGAAGGGAAGGAGGGCGCACCGGAGCCTAACACATCTTAGACGCCGGTGCGCTTTCCTTCCCTTCCCGCCGCCCGTCTGTCCCATCTGCGAGCGTGTCTTTTTAACCCTCTCCGTCTAAAAAAAGACCCAGAAAACCCTCGTTACAAGTTTTACTCTTAATTTTTGTAAAGGCAGTATAATTTCTCTATTCGCATAGCGCGTTACTGGTTTGCTTAATAGCTTATACCAGCTACTGATGCCCAACTAAAATTCCTTGATAAAGGACTCGGGAAGGGTTTGGCAGATGGAGATCGGCGGAGGTCAGTCGTGCACACATGATGCCTGTTCCGGATTCCCTCCTCTGTAAGGAAACAACAAAGGCTGATCATCTGTTGTAAAGTTTTCCTTCCTGTTCCTGTCATTTAATATCTTCCCGTCTGTCCTGCTCGATATTTGATAAGGGGTGTCTTTTTCTCCTGCTGGAGCATCAAGAGGGTGGGAGAAATACCCACAACAAAACTCTCAAAGTCACTTCAGCTTCCTACTGTCTGCTTGTTGAGGTGATGAATTGGTATGAAATGCAAACGGAGTTCACCCCCACTTCAAATTTTGTGTCTATCAGAGTCCCTAAGACTTATTTTTTATATGTGATAATTTAACAAAGGCCAGAGGCAAATTTTCAGTCTCTTTCTCTCGTACCTCTAGTTCCCTTTTTCCCCCAAGTTGAGGGAAAACATGGCGCTGTAAAGAGATTACAAATAACCAGTAGTTTGGGATATGTGTAAATGTATATGTGACTCGGAGCGGGAGCTTCGACAGTTCTGGAAAAGGAGAGGGAGGCGGTCTCCTCTCGGCGGGTAGAGGGCAGTAGAAAGTCCAGAGAGCTGGTAAGGCAGCATCTGTCCAAAAAACTTGCGTTTAAAATGATGCACTATTTTGAGAAAGCTAAACTCGGTCATTTTTAGTGGGCAGCTGACCTTTGTCCTGGCTCTCATTATTAGTTTAAAACTCCATTTGCCTGTGTAACAAATGAATTGCAAGCCACAGCAGAGCAGGGCAATGTGTCCCGCCTGTGCTACAACCAATGCCATCTGCCTCATCAGCTGATGCTTTGGTAGGACGAGTTCCAGGGTTAAAATCTGTGTTGTTAAACAATTAAAAATGGCCCTAAACTTTGGAAGACCTTGGTTGAGATCATGTTGGTGAATATGTACATTGTTGTGGTCTCTCTTGTTTTTAACATTGGAAAAGTTTTCATAAACAGAAAAGTACGAACGTACTTTAAAAACCTACCTGGTTTTGGAGGAGTTTCTCTTGTTGTGTGTTTTCAAGTAAAAGCTTGACTAAAACAGTTTCCCCCATTCCCCATGGTTAAAGGAACTAAAAGTCTGCAGTCATTAAATGCCCTAATGTTCCAGCTCCCTTACTGTATCACAGTACGGACAACTCTGGCAGTTTAAGAGTATTTCATTCCTTTGAAGTGATGCAATCTGTACGTTGCTGTAGTTCAACTCGTAACACGTCCCATTTACTGTAGAAAATAGTATGAAGCATTTGCTGGCAAGATTGCATTTCAATTAGTGTTGTGGTTAGGAACTAGTTCCAGCTGTCCCTATAGGAATAGTCGAGATAACTTATCAACTTAATTTTCATTCTCATAAATGAAAAGCAACTGAGTTGAACTGTCAGCCTAATAAATAGTCCTGGAATACCTATTATTGAATTGTCAGGAAACTGCCTCATTCTAAGGAACAGAAGTAATGTGCTGTTCTTCATGGTGCTTGTTGTGCACGAGGTGGCAGCAAGGATGAAAGGGAACTTATTGTACTGCCTCTGATCACGAAAATGATGTTGAATAGCTCTGATTTTTTGATTGTGATGACCTAAACAGTTGTGCAGTTTACAGGCACATGTGCAACAGGCTAAGGTGGTAATCCCTGATCTGTGAGCTGTGCCTTTATCTTTTAATGGAACAAGGGCTGCTTTTTTTTTAATTGTCTTGTCCACTGGGAGTGCAAACCAGTCCTACCCCAGTTCAGAGAGGAGGAAATGGAAGTGTCTTGCAGAACTGTGTGAATAGAAATCCGTGGTTTTGCTCTTCTTCCTGTCTTTAGCCTTTTCTTTCACTGCAGTTTTTTACGCTGAAATGACCCCTACTGGCTACAGTTATAAGCATGTTTTTTGTATCAGTTTTGAAGCTTCATCGGTGTCTTATTTCAGAGTATCAACACATACTAGGCTACAGAAAACTCTGAGAGCTGAAATAGCAACAGGTAGAAATACTTGTCTGGTAACTTAGTTTTAGTATTTAATACACTTGACGTTAGTTAATAACACCTGATGGAGGAGTCTCTGTGGCATCTGTTACTGGTAGCTTCTCTTTTTGAAATTACAAATAGACTGTTCTTTGTTAAAGAACTGTTTATTAATGAAATCTGTTGCTGGTTCTGAGGTTGTTTTTTGTTTTTTGTTTTTTTCTTTATCCTTCTAAAACCTGAAGAAAGTTCTCATTCATGTCACCACCTTAACTATTCACATCTCTATGCAGTTCTCAGGCTCTGTTTGTGTCATTATCCCAAAGTAGGTAAATACCTTTCCTGAATGCAGTTATACCCGTAGTAAATAATTCTGAGGTCAGCTTCCCCTGGTGGCCGCTCCTGAAGGGCATTCTTGAGAGAGTTTGCACAGCTCCAGCATATGTTGGCTTTATAGGGATGCTGCTGGATTGGTTCAGTGAGGTGTGTTGAGAGCCTACAGCCCCTTCCAAAGAGTCTGAGCATTGAGAAATTTTGAATGCAAAACAGGAATTGCCCCTTGCTCTGCCTTTGAAGGTAGTCCTAGAGTCACCACTGAATTAGACTGAGGTTCTCCAGAAACACCTTAGCCTTGGCTTTTGCTGCAGTGCAGCTGGGCAGGGCTCTTGTCTTCCGGGGGGATCAGGGAGCCTTGGAAAAGTTCTACCAAAGAAGTTTGCTTACTCTGTGAAGGCATTTCTTGTGATGACACTCTTCTTGTTTCAGTTACCATGCTTCCCTGGTTTCTGGTGCTATTAAATGAAGGGGCCTAGATTGCTATGCTAAACTCTTCAAAGACATGACAATAGCACATAACACTGAAAATGAGCTGAAATTATTTTTAACTGAGTAACAGAAACATAAGATTTTGTAATATATTTGAAATGCTTCGTTAACAAAACTCCTACTCTATGTTTTTCTTTTATGATATACTTTCGTATAAATTAACCTCTAGATACATATTAAAAGAAGGTATTTCTGTGCCAGTAGCTTGCCAGTAATATCTAGTACTTTGTCTGGCTTGGTTTATTGTTTTGTTTTTAGTGGGGTTTGGGTGTGTTTGCTTTTTTGGGAGGAATGGGGGATACAGCTATTGCTGTATTCTTTTTGCTCACTGTAGGTAGTTTAAGGTTTCCCTTGAATGCTTGAGGCTTCTCTGCCTAGTGCATAGCTTCTGTACTGGGGCTCCCTTGGGACCAGAAGAAAGCTGCTTTAGCAGATTTTAGGCAAGTATTGGGAAAGTATGTGGGTTAATCTCCTAGGACAATGGCAGAAGCTTGCCTTCCTGTGGCTAATCCTAGTCTCATTTACTGAACTGCATCTTTTTGGGAGCTTGGAGCATTACAGTCTGTCTGACTCCTTGTTGGGGCAACCTGGGAGAGCTTGAATGTGTCCATTGTCCCTTTCCCCACCTTGAAACCTGCTGTGGACTAGTTTTTGTCTTAGAAATATGTAAGGGCACAATATATTATATGTAACCAAAGCACGGTGAAACTGGAGCTTGTGAGAAGAAAGGAAAATTTGACAACCCAGCTTTTTTTTTTTCAAAATTTGAAAGAGGAAACCTAAGCTTGTTTTTGTTTTGCTGTGTTCAGGTATTTATTTTACGTGTATGCTAGTAGAGTTCTTTCCTGCTTTTCTGAACTAAGAATAACTTGGTTACCGAGTTGGTAGTATTTTTATCATAAGTAGTGCTGATACTTGTGACTTCTGTAACTAGTACCTCGGGAGAACTTTATTTTCAGTTGTTTTCAGTCCTGTGCTCTCTACCTAGTGGGTCAGTGGACCCAAAGGCCTCAGCTTGATGCTTTGTCTCCAGACATACTTCTATACAGCATGCTAGGCTTCTTGCCTGTTATGCAGTCCAGACTGTTAAAGATCAGGCAGTATTTTGCTTTCAGTACCAGTTACTGAAGTTCAAGTAGTTGAGAAGTCACATGTTGGTAACCCAGTTGTTTATATCTGTTTGGACTGGAACAGCATTGCCCAGGTTTCTTATCTTTTTGTTAGGTTGGGGTTTTTATCTTACTTTGTTATGTAGTGAGGGGCTGGGGAAGTATCCAAGTGGTTCTGATGCTCATGTGTGCACAGAGAACTTTCTCCAGTAAATCAAGTGTTAGAACTGATGATGTAGTTGGGGACTTCATCGGTATTAAGTGCTGCACCAAATTGTTGTTGGCATGAAGACAGTCAGAATACTTTGTTCAAGGACTGTCAGCAATCCAGACTATCAGGGAAACAAATGGAAAAATTATTCATGTTTTCAACAAAGAAAATTATCAGAAAAATTATTTTACTTGTGAAACTGGAATGAGAAGTAGTTCTCTGGTGGTTGGTGAATGTTCAGCTTCTGATATGCTAGTCTTGATCAAAGACTTCCCTTACTTCCCCCCCTCACCAGAAAACACTTACTAGGAGCATGCTGTCTTCTTACACACAGACTGGAGAATTTGTAAGCTACTTCTACTCTGTATTCTGTCAACGCGGAAATCTCAACATCAGTAAGAACATGTAACTTTGAGTGTGGCATGTAATTTGAATTGGATCAGGTGCTTATTTGACTTGGAAATGGCTTCCTCTCTGTTTCTGTGCACCATATTTCGATTTTAGAAATCACTTGGTTCCAGTATTTCAACAAAAATTAAATGGAAGAGTCT